GTTGTTGTTGTTGTTAGTGTGTTGTTGTTGTTGTTGTTGTTGTTGTTGTTGTTGTTGTTGTTGTTGTTGTTGTTGTTGTTGTTGTTGTTGTTGTTGTGGTTGTTGTTGTTGTTGTTGTTGTTGTTGTTGTTGTTGTTGTTGTTGTTGTTGTTGTACTCGTTGCCGTGCTCTCCGTGCTTGTGCTCGTGGACGTGGTGGTGGTTGCCATTGTGGTCGTCGTGGCTGTCGTTTTCGTGTTTGTACTCGTGGCTATTGTCACCGCTGGCATTGCTGTCGCAGTGAGCGTGCCTGTGCTGCTGGAGGTGCTTGTGCTTGTCAACGTGCTCGAACTGCTTGTGGACGTCGAGGCCGTGCTTGACGATGAAGATGAAGTCAAGGTCTGCGTGGTGACGGTCACATTGCAGTTGACATCTGCTGTTATGAACGTGCAATCCTCCCTGTCAGATGATACAAGCACAACGACACAAGTACACACAACGAACGGCACACACACACGCGCACACACACATGACAATCACAAATGATGATATGCATGTGTGAGGACGAAGTTGAGAAAAGTGATGTGCTCTCGTCTCGTTGCACTTGGGGAGTTGAGAATGAAAGCCAGCACACAAAGCACACGAGCACGCAAACCCAAAGCGTGAGACACCCGTTGTCTTTGAACTCGCCAGCAGCGCAGAAAGCGAATGCCGTCCGCATCGTCTCCGCAGCTTGCCATGCAAGCACCAAGAGCAACAAGAGCGGTGGTCGTGTGATGTTCATCGCGGGTTATACAAGTCAAGTATTCCGCCACGGATAAGTCGTCAACGACCTGTACACGTTGATCATTGACACAGAGAGAGGCCAGTGGCAAAGACGAGTGAGGATCATGATGATGTGCTCGGCCAGAGCCTGTTCTTCTTGCGTGCACAAATTCACACAGAAACACCGAGGCACATAGATGCACAACACAACCCCCCACACGCACACGCACACACACACACAAGGCCCTATCGCAGTTATTACAAGCCTCAGCACACCGTCACAACTGCCCATCATCGCAAGAACGCACCATGCCGACGCACTCGTGGATGTGCTCTTCACAAGTTTGCGCGCATTGCGGTTGGTTCTGGATAGCTGCCTCTCTGTTGGAGGTTTGGTTGGTGGCAGTTGCGCCGGTATCACTGTCATTGGGCGACGCTGGTGGGCGCGACACATAGACAATGGGGACGGCGCATACGGCACCGACCACAAAGATGGTGATGCAGCAGAAGAGCCCGATGTACCGCCGACGCTTGCGCTTCTCCCGGAGTTTGCGGAGCTGCTCCTTGCGGAGCTCTTGCGCTTCCTCCACAAAGTACGGCTCCATGCTGACCTGATAGCGGTTGGACATGATGATCGTTGATCGTGTGCTTGCTGCGTCTTGGTCGAGGTGTTACAGATGTACTGGAAGAGTGGAAGAGGGGGGCACGGGTCCGAAGAAAATGGTAATGCCGTACGCACAAAAGCAAGGCGGTCAAGGCGTGTTGTGCGACAGCGAAGCGAGGTGTGCGTGCTTGTGTCGTGCACTGAGCCTCGTGTGCATCGCAGCTATCGTTGCTTTGAGTCACATAGGCATGTTGACTGAAGCTGTGACTTTGAGAGTGAGCATGCATGCAAGTCAACTGAGCCGTCACTCTTTTCAGCCCGTATATGACGTCATCGTCCGTGTTGTGTCAAATTTCGTGTTTCTGATGACTTGGACTGGCATGGGGGGTGCAACGCTGCATTGTGTACGCGCTTGACACGAGTGTGGGGTTTATTTGCAATGTAACGACAAGCTTTCCTTCAACAGCTCAGTCAACATCAAGACGCCAAAGCAACAAACGCACACAAAGAACAAGCTGCGTTGACGATGTGACGTGGAGTGTCATGGTGTCATTTAAGACAAGACAACAAGTCGTCATCACGCCTGCTGCTGCTGCTGCTGCTGCCGTTGCTTCTGTTGTTGTTTTCGTTGTTGATCATCGCCACCGCTGTCTTCGGCTTGTGTTGCTGCCGACTTTTGTGTCGACTGTTTCTTCGTTTCTTCGATTGCTGGCGAGCTGGTGTCGGGTGCAACATCCTGTTTTGTCGTGTCGCTCCCTGCCGGCGCGTTCTCGATCGCCGTCGCTTGCTTCGACGGTGCTGGCGGGCAGTGCTGTTGCAGCAGTGACAGCAGGTCCTTCGCGGTCTGCAGCCCAACCTGAGCGCGTAAACGAGCAGTTTGAAGGTTGAGGAAAGGGAAATCGAGTTAACAGAGGATTTGAGGGGTGTCAAAACAATGTGGATGGAGGGGACGCGTGTCCGCAGCATGGCATGGCTCTTTCGAAGCAATCGCGTTCGTATGAGCAGACACACTCAACAGCAACCATTGAGGTACACAGGTGTGCAGGTGTAAGAGTGTATGTTCGGGGTGAGGAACGTACCCTGAGAATGTAGATGCTGAGGCCTGCGGGCTTGTCGCCGCGCTCAACGACCTCTGGTGCTTGCGAAGCGTGGT